CAGCGAGCTATCTGTGTTAAAACTTTAGAAACACCTACTTGAAAAAATATTAATTAGTTTGACGGAAATGCATAATGACTTGTGCTGTTGAACTGTGTGAGTCAGACGCAGATGATAAATTCTATGAGCCAAATTGCACCGACCAAGAAATGAAGAATTTGCCTGTGGGACCTTATATAGAGGGAGTAGAAACTCAGGCCAGCAGTCAGAAGCAGCTGCCAGGAATACATCACCAGCAGGTTACTGGTTTATGTTGAACACACCGGTACCACTGAACTTAGCCAGCAGTCTGAACCATGAAACTCACGCAGCTGAAAGGAGAAAACACTCGCCAGGACCATTTAGGCAAGAGAAGCCAACAGTGAACAAACAAACAGCAAGCAATAACTCATCTACAGTATGAAATGTTTGCTTTTCAGATTCAATTTGGCATAAAAGAGCCTGTTTAAACAGAGGACTGAAATAACCATCCAACACAAGAAACACAAGGGAACAGCGACAACTGACCGATACGGTTGCTCAACTTGACTCGCATAGCTTTGTGATTTGCTTATATTAAATGCAACATTTGACTTGTACATTTATCTAAGAAGAAATTCTTGTCCGACACAAACACTGAAACACCAACAGCAAAAAAATGAAGCATTAACTTGCTAACAATTTGAATATTCTCAACTCCACGGTCGACCTTACAGAATCATGTGTGGGTGGGATACATCTCCCAACACGAGTTCACTGTAAGATACAGGAAGAACAGCTGAAAGAGATGAGGCCAAAATCAGAAATTGTTTGCTTTCCAACATTTTCTGGGAGTATTATTGACAGTAAATAAGTGACTTCATTCGAGATGGAGAATATAAGGCATCCACAATGATGTGTAAATGTCATTTTTTGCATATTGCACTGGAGGAGCACCAACAGTGTGCAGTAATGTCTTCTTCCAACAGGCCACTCCCTCTCTGGGAAGAACAGTTCTGCTGGCTCATAACAACTCAGCAGTTTATTTATAACATCCCACAGTGAGTATGCTCAGGAGAATATCTTCTCATGCGGGCAACACACACCTGTCCTGTAAATAAATACAGGACTGCTGTGCTGTGTGAACGTCCAGCTGGGTACATACATGCATCACATGGTTACTTATTTCAAAGCTTGTGATGGCTGTGACTGCTTGTCTTTCTTGCAGGGTACAGTGAAGATCCCTGCTTTTATTGTGAAATGGTGGCCTTTTTTTGTCCAAACAAATACGTTGGGACAATGAAGTGTGAAAAAAAATTGCAAAGTTGGTGTGAGCGACACAATAAAAAAGGGATGAGCCTCTTCAAAGAGAAAGTACTGTAGCATGAAAGCTGAGGGTCCTGGAGGGGGACGCTGATGGAGACGGGCAGAGGGAAAAATGGGGGAGAAGCCCTGAGTTTTCTCAGCTGGGCCGGCATGGGTGAGGGGAGGCTGTGGGGGGATGGAAGGAAATGAGAGAGGGCTGAGGCAGGCTGGGTGACCTGGGCCTTTGTTGGCAGATGGTGGGAAGCGCCACCTTGGCCTCTCGCTCTGAATGCTAAGCAGTGCTGCTATTGTCTGGCAAGTGCAGCAGCAGCAGACGCATGCGCCGGGTGTTTCTCTGGCAACCAGGAAAAGAAACAAACTGCCCCCCCCCCCCCCCACCCCCAACTCCTCATCTTCCTCCCAGCCTTGCACACACACACCCCACCCCACTTCTATGAACGCCTGTACATTTAGAACTCCACAAAACGCACATGCTAACATCCACCAAGAGGGAATTCCCATGCACAAGGAGCCCAGGCCAGACGGAGCGTAACATGCTCCCACACTCCTGACCTCAGAGGTCCACAGAGAATGAGAGGTCAGACAAGTGGCGACACTCAAGAGGGTCTGATTCATATAGATGTGAAATTCAAATGCATAGCAGTCTAGTGCATAGCCGTCTAAACCAGGGTCCAGGGACCATCAGGGGGACATTTGAAATTGTACTTGAGGTCCCCGGATAAATCAGACTAGTGTCACTTTCCTGCAAATTCACTCACTTGATGTTAGAACAATTTATCCTTCTGTTGACTCCCACCTACTGCACATATTGTTATGCAATGGAAGAACTAGGATTTATTGTGTGAATTTTGCATTAGATTTGATTGCAGGTACATTTTCAAGGTGACCCTAATAAATTGCCACAGGATTGGCGTATCATCCAAGTGTGTCTAATATTCACGCTACCCCATGTGAAACAAGTTGGAGCTGTGATTTTGAAACTATCTGGTGAAACATAGTGGTTTGGTTACTATTGGCAAAGAAATATCAAACAGTTATTTAAATCTAATTTTAGTAACTTACATTGCCATGAAACCCAACACGATATGCATGCATCACATTACTTTTTAAATGAAACCAAAACAACAGGTGCATAACGAACAGTTTCACTTCCAACGGTCCATGTGACATCCATATCAAAATACTAGTTTTTGTGCAATCTGAGGAAAGGAGATAACACTTTCCTCATAAATGATATATATACGATACATCTTTGCAAGTTAAGTATTTAAAATAGTGATAGTATTTTTGATGTATCATCACATTTGGTACCGTTTTCAAAAAGTGGAATATTTTCATAATGAAACTTGTGACCTACATCCTGACTATTTTAGCAAAAAGGAGGTAAATAAAGTACCAGCCCCTGCACTAGTACATGCCTTTTTACCACAATTTGTTCCTTCGTCAGGGGATCAATATCTCCGACATTATCAAGAGAGGTCAGTAAGCCCATGAAATGTTGAAATCAGACAGATGGCTTTAAGATATGTTAAAGCTAAGCTAAAGCTAAGCAAGAGGGATAACAACAAACCAAAGAACAAAATACAACAATCATGACAAAAGGTTAAAGTCTCCTAAAAATACAAATATTTAGCATTACCTATTATAACCAATGGATACCTTATACTAAGCAACTAGAACTCAACTAGAAGGCAAAGAGGATCGTACAGCTGAAAGTAGGTTAAGCAAATTCAACACTCATTTGATAAGCATTGGGAGCCAACAGAGGACATGGTACAACAGATAAAAGAGACCATTATAATCTGGGGTGTCTTTGATTTACTCATCTAGCTCACAGACAACCTCAAAACATGACCACAGATGCTGCCAGCCAGCTACAGTCCCAAGCTAGTTACTGCCCCATACAGATGTCAAAATCACAGGGCGGCTATGACCATAGGTGGCAGGAAATCAGGTCGAGACATCACACCTCAAAGCTAAGCCAAGAGAGAAGCTGTCAGATCAAAAAACACCCATCACTCTGTGCCAGCTGCAGCCAGGAGATGTCAGACTAATCACCTCTCACACACTACTGCCACCACGCTGTAAATAAAACAGGAGGTGACATAACCACAGTGACTTCACTCCCTGGAATGTAGGGTAGTGGAATGCATGTCTACATCTCTGTAAATGCAAAGGTAAAGGTGTGTCTGAGGTGACAGTACAAACGTACAAACAATAATTGCACCACAAACGCATTTTTATAAAAAGTGAGTTATCAACATGTTTGACAGAGAAAGCATTCACATAACCATAGCTATATCTTCCTTCTTAATATCAAATTATACCGGTTTTCACCCTGAAAGATCACCTGCCAAGGTATTACCTGACATGTCAAGGTGCATAGTTGAAGGAGCAGCGTTCAAAAGCTAGCTGATGTCATGTGAAGTAGGTCAGGAGGGGCTTTTCCCACCAACCAGGCCTTAAACAGGCCTACGTCAGCCCCTTTATTAATGGTGCATTTATGTGCTCCTTAGGATGGTCGTTCTTGGTGTCTTTAAGTTGTAATATGTTAACACTTCAGGCGTTTAAAAAAAATGTGTATGGTTGCTGATGACCATACTTGGTAGCTTATTACTTTACTTATCACGTTAATCACTTGTCACTCTATCTTGTCATTCTCTGCAAATATTGTCTCAATCCCCCCTCCCCCCAGTTAACTTCATCATTCATTTTGTACTGTATACACCCACCTGTTTTTATTTTCATTTATCTTATCTATTCTGTTGAATGTGTATTTTTGAGCTTTCTTGTCTGCGCTGCTGTAACGGGATCAATAAAGTATTATCCTATCCTACAAATGAGACATAAGATAATTAAATGAAGCAATAAAAAAAGTGTTTGACCTTTAAGCTTACATTACTTTAGTCGACCATTAACAGAATCAGCTTTATTTGCCAGGTATGCTCACTGTTCAAGCACTACAGTATAACATTACATATGAACCATAAACACAACACAAGCAAAGCCTAACATTGCACAAGACTGAAATAAGACAACAGTGTAGATGTGTTCATTTAAATGGGGGTAGAGTAATATGAAGGCTGTCCTATTCTTCTGACTTTCCCAAAGGGGGGTTGTTTAAGTTTCCAGTGGAAAACTATGTTGTTAACACCACATGAAAGCAGGATAAAGTCACAAGTCAAAAGGATGAAGCTTTTGCTGCTCTGCGACGCAGCGTCCACTGACTTGTGCCACAGATTGCTATCTTTCACTTTAGCTAGCTGGGCTAATTGCACCTGGCGGAGCTAACAAGCGAACAAAGCCGGTAACCGGGGATTTGGAGGAGAAAAAAAGCCCGGTAGCCCTACACGGTTGGATGTTTCTGCAATAAAAGCTTAATATCACTCATTTTGTTGTTTATTAATGCATAATTCAAGTGGCGTTGTTTTATTTACGCCCGGTAGCTCACGTCAAGCTGACATTTCCGTTAGCTTTGACACCCGGCTTTCAGAATGCTAATGTTAGCATCCTGAGCTAGCAAGGTTTGTCCCCTCCCCTCCGCAGCTCCCTCCAAACGAAAACCAAAGCATCCCCCCCCACCCCGCATCCAACCCGAAGTAATTAAAACAACCAGGTGTGTGTGTTTAAGTGTCACAGGTGATGAGAGTGAAATGCATGAATACAACAACAAAAAAAAAGAATAAATCACCGTGATTACCAGAGTGAAAGGATACTGAGGTGTCGGTACGGAGCCGGGCTGAGGGACTGTGGGGGCTCCCGGCGGCAGAGAGACGGAGGTCAGGGTAGCCCGCAGCTGGCTCGACGGAGAGGGGCCACTTCCAGGTCCGCTCACTGCGACGACAGCGGCGGGTTTGGGAACCACTTTCGGTGGCAAACTCATCGCAAAAAAAACAATAATAAAAAAAAAAAAACAATACCTCCTTTTAAATACTGAGACAAACAGCGTCTAGCTCGCAAACATGGAGCAAAGCCTCGCAGATTCTTGGAAGCAGCAGGCCCCAAAATCCCCCCTTTTAACGAACCGGGATAACGAAAGCTCGAATAGCAACACAATCGTCTTTTTTCTTTTATCATGGAAAGTCGCTGTTCGGATCAGCGGTGCTGTTCATGGGGACGGTGGGAGGTTTAGCCTCCCCTCGGCCCGTCCGGAACCTCCTGCTGGATCCGGCTAGGTTTCGTTTCTGTGGAAAAAATAAATAATCGCCACAGATTCTTCAACCTCTTCTCGGCGATCTACCTCGTCTCGTCGTCAAGTGTGTTATTTGTCATTTTTTTTCCCTCACAGAGATGAGAGACTTCGCCAACATGGCGTTGCGGCCGCTTCCAGCAGTCCGGGCAGGACAGATGATTCGGCAATTCTCGGCCGGTTACGGAATCGCTCGGCTAATCAAGTAACCCACAATCACAAGATACATGGACACCGCGGAGTTCACGTTTCCTCGTCGTGTGTGAGAAATTACTGAATTTGCCCCCTTATGCTGATACTTTTTTTTTTTTTTGTAAGCATAAAATATTTGACTTTTTACTACATTTTTTCCCCCTTTTTCAAAGAAGAACATAATGTTAAAAATAAAAACTAACGTGAAATGCCTCACATTAAAAAATAAATAAGTTAGTTGAATTACTGTATGTATATGAAGTTGCACTATTGTTCTTAGCTATTTTCATTTATTAGCAAATCTGATTCTTAAAATCGTATAGTAACAAATTTGCACAGATAGTTCACGACCTACTCTGCACCAGCTCCAGCATCAGAGCATCGTCCTTTGTGTCATTAGCGCCACCTACCGTTCTTCTTGGTTTACGCACCTACAAGGGAGCAAAATTATTATTGCCACTGGTACATCACTGTTATTGAAATAATGGGTGGGATGAGAGTGTGAAATCACGTGGGACATGAGACAAACATGTTTTAAGATCGGTTTTACTATACAAAATAATTTGTGACAAACTCTTAAAAACAAGTATGGCACAAGAGCTTAGCCTCTAAGACTCAGTTCTCAAATTAAAAAAAACAAAACAAGTTGAACCTTAAATATTGCTGTGGACGTCTTAATTCCTTCATTCTGTTTCTGTCGTTTGTGTCTGCATAGGACATTTCTTATTACACTTTACACTCATTACACAAGTAAAAACATAAACAAGACAACATCAGAATGTATTAAAAAAAAAAAAAATAGTTTAAGACTGTTCACAAAACTGTTCTGAAATATTGACAATGTCGTTTTGATTTTACTGCTTTAAAATAGTCCAGATAGATGAGTATTAAATCTTCCGTCAGGTTAAAAAGTGTAACAGGTCCCTGTTGTGTTATTTTATAAAAAAATTGTGAGCACAAATAAAACACAATTAAAGTAAACTGGAGCAGATGGAAGCCTGAGAAAGAGTCCAACAAAATGTCCCCTTGCCTGTCCATGACTTTATGTGACCAAGCAGAACACATTTTAAGAGTGTACCTCTCCCCTCCCCCATCCCATTTCTGTAAGAATTTGTTGGGTTTTCAGTGTTCAAAAAGCACATTTCATTTCTACAGTTTAGAAGTTGGGGAAAGCGTCTAAACAGTCGTTGTGGAAAAGCCCTGAAGATTGGATCCTCCATGCAGAACAGGAACAGTTTATCCTGATAGAGAGGAGCCAGGTAAGCATTAAGTGGTAAAGCAGCAGGAGTTCAGTGGTTCTTCCTGTCCTTCGTCAGCCTCCAGGCCATATTCCTTAAAGGTTCTTCTCACTTCTTGTTGATGAGCAGCATCGAACAAACAAGTCATCACCAAAGGTCGCACTTATGTTTCGGGTTCATGGGAGCATCTGCGCTGCAGCCAAAGTGCTTTGAGAATTCCTGGGAGTTTGAAATCGTGCCGATGACTCTGAATCTTGATGGACTGTGAGGATCCGTGATAACACCTTCGTGTGAGCTTTCAGGAGTCCTGACAGAGCACCAGACCTGCAGAAATGAGGACAGACAGAGACACAAAATGAGCGGATCATTTTGACATCGTACTGAAGTACCTAAGACTCTGTTGCTCGTCGGCATCTCGGTGTGGCCTTTTTATATGGAGTTTTGTCTGTTACGCTTCCATGGAAATGTCTTAAAGGCGTCATGGTGGGGTAAAAAAATGTTCTGCCTCTGAGACCGGCATCAAGGGTAGTAACAGAAGCATAACAAATGTGAAATGTCGGAGCCAGCACGGCAGACATGTGTGAAACTTGCATTATTTGTTTACACGTCCTGCCTCTCTGGTTTTCCGTAACTCAGTGTAAAATCACACACTGCAAAAGTAATATTATTGTTGTGGGGTAGTACACACAAGGTACAAAGGTTAAAATGGTGTCAGAGCTAGTCACAGCGCAGAAGAATAGGAAAGAATCTCTGTAAAAAAGGCTTAACTTTCTCATCATAATAACGACCAGATTGGAGCAAACACAACTATTTATACATCATCAGTTTATGATGTTTCTTTCTAAAGAGGGAAAGAGAAAATCAGAGATGTCCCTTTAAGAAGAACATTTCTGTATGTGTTCAAACTGGTAAGAGAAGCTTCCAGAGACAGCAGTAGTATTAGATTAAGGGGGGGGGGAGGGGGGGTACACACCTGTGCAAATCCTACAAAAAACAGCTGATGGTTTGTCATTCCTAGTGCAGGCAGCGTGGCCTCCTCGCCGTTGTTTTTGATCCAGTTCGCATAAGCCTTCAAAAGAAAACAAATGATCATGTTACACACATGCATTTAATGATTTCATCTGCCCACGTAAAGATGGACATTGATAAAAACCTGAAGTGAACAGAAGACGGTGAACATAGTAGCAGGTAGTGCAGACTGCTTTTACTCCATACGATTTGCTTATCCGCCTCACAGCTCCTGACCTTTCATTACATGGAAAGAATGTGTGCATGTGAAGAAGTAACCAGAGGCTGACAAGGCCGTTCACAGCCACCTGTTGCACTTCCAGGCTTCACTGTAAACCAGACAACTCTGCTTTTTCCAATACAGATTAATGGATGTGACCCACAGCAGAGTCTCGACAAATAAACTAATGCAGGGAGATTGATGTCAGATCTGTGCGTTTGTTTTCTGACCTTGTAAACATTCAATCTGACAGTGTCGCCTTTGGAAACACAGCAGTGTGGTGTGAACTTTCCATGATCATGGAAAAGCGTTTAATGGTCTACGTCGGTGGCAGAAAGCCATTTTCCTTCAGGTTAAGAAAATCACTAAAGTAACTCATGCTTCCTGTGTGATATCAGACCTTGTAGGCGGCCTTGAGTCCTCCGTTGTCGGCGATGTTCTCCCCCAGAGTCTGTCGTCCGTTCAGAGGCTCCTGGTTGATGCTGTAGTTTCCGTACTGCTCCACCATGCACTGCGTCTGCTTCTTGAATGCCTCCACAGACGAGTTCTTCCACCAGGGCCGCAGGTTTCCATCCTTGTCGTATTCCCTCCCTTTGAATCAAAGTGTAAAACTAACCGTCTCAAATATGTGCACGCTTCTGGGCATTTTTTTTTTTTTAATCGAGGCATTTTGTGTTTACAGAGTGCTTGTATTTGTCATCATCTGAAATTTCAATTTCATAAAATTGACAACTTTTTACAAACCTTGGTCATCAAACGCGTGAGTCAGTTCATGTCCCATTACAACACCAATGCCACCGTAGTTTAGAGCTCTGGAAAGACATTGAAATCAGGTCTTGAAAATCTATGCACAGCACACAATTCTTGTCAAAATGTTTCACAAACTTCTGTGTACTACTGTAACTTTGATTCACACTCATGAACTTTTATACTTCTTTTTCTTTAAGTTTTTAAATTCTTGTACTGTCCCTGATTTTTTTGGCATTCAATTTTAACTTTTACCTTTATTCTTAGTTCTGTGTTTTTTTTTTTTTTAATCTGTACCATAACATGCTTCTATTCTGTTCTATGGTGCTTCTATTATTGTTGTCCAATGTCGTACACAACACACTTTTTTTTTTCCCCCTTTCTCTTTTAATAAGTCAACCGAACATGATTTTGTGAAATTGATGGGAAGACCTACTTTGGCCAGGAGCGGCTGTAGAACGGAGCCTGAAGGATTCCTGCGGGCAGAACCATCTCATTCTTGGTTGGGTTGTAGTATGCGTTCACGGTCGGGGGTGTCATGCTCCATCTTCAAAAAACAACAAGAGAAACATTAAACCACAACTTGAGGTCAAGGTCAGGGCGGCGCACTCGGGCACAACACAAAGACTTGCATATTCAGACACACGCCAGAGATTACCTACTCTCCTCCAGCCGCAAAAACTATCCAAGAAACCTCAGGATCATCCTCCTCTTTTTCTCAGTTTCAGTGGAACACACGCTTTGGAGTTTTATTTATATTTTTCAGATATTCACACGAGTTATACCAGCATGAGGAGAGTTATATATTACCTCTACTGTCTACAAGTTGGATGGAAAAAAAAAAAAAAGACATTTATTTAGCAAATGTAAAATAATACACTCTCCTGAATTAGTGTTCACATGAACAACATAATCTTTACCCCAAACAAGTTTTTATGGGTGAGAAGAGATGTTAATGAAAATGCAAGTAATCTTGGTTAAGTAGAGGTTAAGGTTAAGAATAACAGGAAATAAAGTTTATTGTACATATTCATACAATGACATCATGTGGGAGGAGCTACAAGCTTTAAGCCTTTGGCTGTAAAAGTTCAGTGAAGGAAATGTTACAACCATGCGGTAAGCTCCGGTGTAAATAAATAAAATAAATGAGGCCAATACAGAAGTGCCAACTCCTGCAGAACGTCAATTTTCCACTTGAGACTGGATCCAAGACTCCTTAAAGTTACATACACACCACATTAAAAAAACAATTAACATGTTAACAGCCTGGTAAAATAAAAAGGTCTGATTAGTTATTGTCCTCATGGGAACACACTGTTTGGGGGTAGATTTTTATAATGCATCCGTTTGATTTTATGAATGACACATGTTATTCATAGTTAGGCATGTAGCTGACCTGACTGACAGGTTGCTTTAAAAAAAAAAAAAAAAAACGCCTCAGCTCCAGCTCTCAGCCTGTTGTTAGGTTGACTGAATGTTAGGTTGAGACAGGATTTCCAGCATGGCGGCAGCTGTCGATGAACCTCTGGAACACCCCGCAATAACAGACGGGTGACGTCACTCAGGCTCCGTCCATTGAAATTCACAGTCTATGGTAACAACAGTTTAAACTGCTTCGCATGGCTGTGTTTACTTTGAGTTATTGAGGAACTTTTGTTCCATTATTTTGTTGGTAATTTATTGTTTTTTTTCATCCTTTCATATTTTTTTGGGGGTCGATACTATCACCACATCTTGCGAGGTTAGCTGAATAAACACAGCATCATAATATTTTATAACTAAATGTGTGTTATTTTTTCACAATTACTGGGACTTTATAGAGAAATCCACAGCAGGGAGGCATGGGAACCCTCATCTATTCCCCCTTCCCTCCTCGGAGCCTAATTTCGAGACAAGGATCAGTTCAGCGGAGAGAGGCTGGTTGCCTGGGAACATTAGTGGATGGCAGCAGGATTCTGCTGAGTCAGCATAATGGGAACGTTTCCCCGGTCAGAGAGTTTGACCTCCTCTCTGGCAGCCACACTGTGGGGATGAGGGAGAGACTCACTGGTTTCTGTTTGGTGCTTTCCTCAGCTGGTCGGCGGTCACTCTGCCTGAGAAGTTGTAGTACTGCATGACGTTTTGGAAGTAATGCTCCGACACCACCTCAAACTGCAAAAGAGGGGTGATTCAAAAATGGCATTGCAGTGATTTTTTTTTGTCGAGGCAAATCATGGCATGTAATAAATGAAAGTAGCAGGATGGTTACAACACAGCTCCACTTTACCTACATCATTGTACACTTTGTCCAGCTTTGTGGCGTTCATGATAAACTCTGGATATCCCACCATGTTGTATAATGCATCTGCCTGTGACCGATAAAAAATAATAATTGTAAAAGACACATTTTCACACCAGGTGGCAGTGCTGTATTTCCAAGAAACTTCAGCTCTCGAGACAGAACTCCTGTCAGATGTTTATGTCTCTTTCAAGTCGCAGTAGGAAGAACTTTTCTTGGAAGAGAAACACGTCTTTCTTCTACCTTTTCTTTGGCTGCTTTTTTTGTCTCTGCGTCCATCCAGTTCACATACTTTATGCTGTCCTCAAACGCCGATTTTATATCTCCGACCATGTCTTCAGCCTGAGACGAGAAAGACACAGAGAAAAAAAAAAAAAATCAGACTGCACTCCATCACAGCACACAGCAGGAACAGATGTTGTGAGGGAGAAGGCCTTACGATGGACTTGCTGTCCTCGGCAAAGGTGTCTTTGACAAACATGGCTCCCAGAGCGAAGCCCAGGGCGCTGTCTGTGTCGCTGACGCACAGCTTCCAGCGCGGAGTGCAGCTCTGCAAGTTCAAATCGACACGTCAGGACATGTTGAGGGAAGAATGCAGCCTCACATTCTCTAACACTGTCAGATAACATCAAACGATGAGGAAAGCATAGAGGTTTTTTGTTTTTTTTATGTGTCACATTTTTGTCAGCTTTGATTAGTCACTTCAGACATCAAAGAGAACACGAGTCGCTCAACTTGTAGCAGTCAGCCGGGGGCTACAGGTGCGGGTGGAGGAAAGTGTTGTGATAGTGAAACAGTTACATTAAGAAATAAAGTCAGGGTGAAGTAAGGGACACATAAAAGTGAAGTGAAAGTATGGTAATAGAAGAGTTCTTGGTGAGACAAATCATCCCAATGACTGACCTTTATTTCACCTTTTGAAAGCTTTCTGTTCCTGCTTCTCACCCATTGCATGCTGGGAGATATGAACTAAGCCCATGAGTCTGAGCAGCGAGCATGAGTGTGAGAATAAAATGAGGAGGAGGTTTTTAACTGGTTATGAAACAGACTGAAGCCTCTGTATGACCTAACAAGCGTACATGACCTTCCGCGGGGAGACTGACGACATTGTTATTCTTTTTTTTTTTTTTAAATGCCTGTTATCTCTGGAGTCACATAAGATTCTTACACAGCGGTTTACAGAGGGTGGATAGATAGTTCATATTTTCCACAGAAAATGTTACACGGTGAGAAAAAGGCAGATAGTTAAAGGAAAGCAAGATTTTTCTCAGAGGAATTCTACCCAGGCATGAAAGCCCATGATTGAATGCAAATAATTAAATACTGTGAACGCTGGATGAGTCATATGAACATTTTTTAACTGGACTTTGCTGTAAAAACTCGCAAAATATCTTTATTATAATCAGTCAGATATAGATGTATAGGATAGAGGACAATTAGTGTGAAACATATGTGGTGATTTATTTATTTTTTTTTCACTTTTTGATTTAATTGAAACTGTTAATCCAATCAAGTCCATCACTGAGACACAAACGTTCCACTGTGTTAAAGCTCTAATAGAGGGGGCGGCAGTAGCTCAGTCTGTAGGGACTTGGGTTGGGAACAGGAGGGTCACCACCTCAAGTCCCTTTGCAGACCCAAGTATTGGAAGTCGGTCTGGTTGCTGGAGAGATGCCAGGTCACTTGAGGAGTACTGCCGAGGTGCGAGGCACTGAACCCCTAACAGCTCTGGTGCGCTCCCTGTGTAGCAGCCCCACTCTGACATCTCTATTGTTGCATGTCCAAAAGTCCATGTCTCTCAATAACAGAGTGTAAACCAGAATCGCCCCCCTCTGGGATAAAGAGAGAGAATGATAGTGTATGCTGTGAGAGTCTTGTGACCTCTGAGTTCAGTGTTTCTGAGGGAAAGTTGAGCCGTTATCTCTCTGCACGTTGACAGAGACACAGTGTTCTCTCTAAACGACCGACTGATGTTTTTCTGGACGTGCAACACAACCCTTTCTTATCTTTTACACAAAAAGCTAAAAAAAAAAAAAACAACATGACAAATGAAGCCAGTAAAAAAAAAAACAACACAGAGGAATTAAATAAAGAAGAGGTGCACCTTCAGTAGAGGTTTGAGGAACAACCTGCATCCTACTTTTTAAGGGACAGTTTCACTTAGAGCTGAATCTTTCTGAGACACTATAAGGATGCAAAATAACCTTCAATTTGTCAAGTGTGATTGTGTCTTTTCTTTTTCCTAATTTTTTTGTTTTAAGTTCAGGCTTTCACAAACAATGTACTCTAGTTGTGCAAACCTTTGCTCTAAGCTCACACACGGAGCTGCTTTGTCACATGATTGATCATTTCCATTTTTTGTGTGAACTTTTTGTGATAAGCATTTTGTTGCTACAATGTCAAGGCTCATGATTGAAAATCGTAGTGTTTTATTGCATGTTGTTTAATTTCAATATTTGAAATGTGTAGTTTTCTGTTAATATTTATCATCACTACTATTCCTATTTTTCTTTTAATTATTTGTATCCACCTATGTTGTTTTTGTCTTACAGTTGTTCTAAAGCACGTTCCTACCTGGATTTAAAAAAGGTGGTATTTAAAATAAGTTTTATTATTTATATTTCATAAAGATTTACTGACATGAACACACAACATCGACATTCCTGTGTTGTGTCTCCTTTGAATTTAAGATGTGATCCTTTGAAATTTCACAGTCATCTAGCTTATGTATTGACCAGAGGTTAAAAAAAGAAAGTTTCACCTGGATGACAAAGTTATAATCAAGTGAAAGAAAGGAAGAGGACAAACAGAGCTGCGTATCTGCAGAGGAAAGAGGAAGAGGAAACCTGGACTGAGTGAGGAAGTGAGGCGTGTTATTAGTAAAGTTGTAAAAACCCCGTGCAAAATTAGTCTCAGATGGAAAAAGAGACGTAGCTGCTGCACCCTCACATAGAACAGATACAAAAAATTGTGGGTTTGTTATTACAGCTTGACCTCAGATGGAAACAAGGCCGAGGGAACAGGATCTGTCTCAGATGAGGCTCAAGGTCAAGGAGCCTTCGCGGTCACACAGACACTCACCGAGGAGGAAGCAGAGCTGCTGTTTTGACAGTTTGAGAGGAAACCTATTTAAGTGCTCATATTTTTTTTTGCTTCTAACCCAAAACAAATAATCCTGCCTGTGGTGCTCACAACTTCATTATTTTTTTTATTTTTTTTTTAAAGCGACAGCAGCATTGTGGTTGAACGGACACATTGTCCCTTTCACTCTGGATAAACTGCAGACATGGTTTATTTTCACTGGATCTATGTTGTTCCAAAGAAAAACTGTCAACAGGGAGGTCTGCAGATTATCGACAGCAACCATTTCTCTGCTCCTAGAAAGACTTGCCACTGTTGAATTATTTAAATCTACTTTTTTTTTTAATGACTTGAGCACCAAAAAATGAACTAAACTAACCAAACTAAAGAAAAGTATCTGCATCACAATGAAAGTGTGGAAGAGAAAAAGTGAAAACGAAAAACTTGAATTGAATTCAAGCACTACTTAACAATTATCCAACAATTATCCAATCAGCTTTGTTAACATACGGTTATTTAACCATCTCCATTTTTTTAATCTGGGGTCTTATATTCTGCCATATTTGTGTTTAAAGAACTGTTTGAATATTGTATCACGTTATCTATCTCACTTTATGAATAATTTTTAAGGGTCAACACTGTTGAGGTCTGAGACCGTTTTACTACTGTGAAACCACGACCAGAGGTCACAATTAAGTGCTCACACTGTACGACCCAATTGACGGACACGACCTGAGAGCTCACTCTGTCCAAGGGATGGAGCATTCACAGTTTTTAACAGTTAACTCCCATAGATGGAGCTTTATCTCAGTTGTATCAATTGCGCGACTCAACTACATGCTGTACTGACTCGGCACAATTGTGCAAGTTTTACAAAAAAATGTGTTAGTTATTGAAACCAACTATTCAAGACTTCATTTTTACAGGTTCATTTTGAGCTGCACACAGCGGCATAGAGCAACATGTAGTGATGTGTCTCTTTAATGTACCGTATCTCTAATCCAATGATACCGTCACTTGTGCTGGATGTTTGTCATGCACACATGCAAACATTAATCAAGAGCAGGATGTATCCTCATCAGTTGGGCAAGAGTTTTTTTGCTTGTTTTCCGGCTAAATTAAAGTTACCACATAGTCTATAATAGTTCTGGTTAAGTCTCATTAAACGATGGGGATACTATGCTTTTCTCATGGCGCCAGTTTCCATTTTTCTACTTTTGGTAAAAACTAATCCTCCTCCTCTGACTGTCAATAAACAAGAACACAAGGTCGAGTGATAAGCTCTGTAAATCGAGGTGTTTGGCTTTGGGACATTTTCTGTAACGGTAAGGACTAAAGCCAAAACATACAGGGGCTGATAAAGTCATAAACTTAGAAATGTACAAGATTTAAATAGTTCCTCTATGACTCAATGCATACACATTTAACTGTTTGCATGCACACACAAAAACGACAGCAAAACAGCATCTACAATTCTGCTATTTACTCAAACAAAGACAGTAAAAATAGTTTATCTGGAGGGGAATCTGCCAGCAGGTAGGCGTGCATACAAACACTGCTGTTTTTCTCTTTTGGTATCCCACCTCTGCCTCTGAGTCACGATACAGCCAGAGTAAACGGTCTGAACTTTAACTCTCACCTTCTTTGTTCCGGACATGACCTCGAAAAAACGCTGCTCAGCATCCTGGAACCTTTGGTCCAAAATGGAGACCATCTTCCTCACCACCTTCATGATCATGTAGTTGTTGAGGAGGCTGGAAAGGAAATATTAAATTCATTGTTTAGTTTCCCTTTTTAAAACAACCACCTGAATGCTAAACCATTGTGCCTTTTAGTAGGAGGATGCATGCTTCTATAAATAATGTTCACAGTCTGAATGCTTTTATAGTTTCCTTCCTCGTTTGTAGTCGTTTTATTTAGCCTGCAGCGCTATAAATCAAAGTTAATGGAGAAAGCGATTTACAACAAGCATTTGACACTAAAAAAATGAAAACAACAATGAAGACTACTCTGACCTTTTATTTGTTTTACTGATGAGGTCAGAGACTTTCTGGAGGTATGTTTTGGCATAAACAACCACAGGCTCCGACTCGTTGAGCTGCACAGGGGCAAACACATCCGTGAGGTACGGCATCCAATCCACTGCAGGAACCAGAGTCTGCAAAAACACCAGAATAAAAATCACACATGAAGAGAGTACTGAGGAGACTGTTGTTAAAGTATGAACACAAACACTTCTTTACAGTCCCACACCAACAAGATTTAAGTTTACAATTCCATACAGTATGGGGTTACACTGTTTTTTGATTCTGTGATAGTCGATATTTTGCAGGACAATCATGAAAGAACATCACTAAATATATTTTTAACTGAAGGACGGATGTATTTAGTCAGTTTAACCTCTTATCCCGCCTCATCCTTTAACATCTTTTCACTACTGTCCCGACATCATCCTGCTTCTTCTTCTCTTTCTGCTCTCTTCCTGTCTTTGGATAATTCACTTCCACTCATGTTACCCTCTTTCATGTCATAAACGCCAAAGGGAGAAGTAGTGACATGGTGAGTCCAATTGGTAATGAAATCTGCTCATAGTGTGGAATTATTTATCAAAAAATATTGATATTTGGCACCAATTATGAAAAAAAAAAATGTATCGCACGAGTCAGGGCGACTATATCGGGGAATATATATTTTGTCCTACCCCAAATCTCCATTGTGACTGATACTACCAAATACTTTTTGATAGGGATCAAAGAATGATAAATCATAGGTGAATAATCATGTAGCAGCAAAAAACAGCATTGGGCTGCTTTTAGAGAGCGACTCATAGCTAGCATAAGATCTGTAATCAGTTCTTTTTTTTTCAATCTCACATTTTAATGCTGAATTAAGTCAGATTCCTCCCCCGTTCAAGTGTACGATGCTGGCCTTACTTTTAGGTCTTTGGCCTTCATCTTGTTGTAGATGAGCTCCTCGTCTCGCCTCTCCTCCTGGGGGACCGTGATATTAGCCAGGGTGGTTTCAAAGTCCACGATCTCCTCCATGAGCGCCTGAGATGTCTCCTCTGTGCCTCCCAGGAGAATCCCCAACTCCGTCAGGAAGTGGAGGTATGCAGTAAGATACTGCAGAGTCAACGGGGGCAGCAGTGAGGAAGGGTGTGTGTGTGTGTGTGTGTGTGTGTGTGTGTGTGTGTGTGTGTGTGTGTGTGTGTGTGTGTGTGTGTGTGTGATTTAATTAGAAAAGTAATCCTAGACAATGCAAATACAGGCTACTATGCAGAGTATTCCCCTGAAGCTGAAATGTATTTTTTTGAATATTTCTAGAATTTCTTTGCAAAAAAATAAACAGCTTTAGGTTGTTTCATTTACTGGATTCCAAGTAATTATTTTGATGTCATTATGGAAAACTCCAGCTTTTAATTTCACCTTCCAACCCTGTATATGTCCTTTTTTTTTTCTTTAACTGCAGTGCTGGTTGGTACCTTTTCATTGGCGGTTTTGTTGAGGTAGTAATCCCGGGAAGGTAGTCCCAGACTGGACTGATCGACCTGGAGTAGAGAAGAAAAAAAAAAAAAAAAACATCAGATTGTTTTCAATCCTGTGTTTGGAGCATGCAGCCTAAAAGCAGCAGCTCACAGAAGAAGATCTTATCAGAACCATTTGCTACAGTCTCATGACACCATTTAAAGGACTGACAGAGTGTGAGTGGGAACCCAAGACCACTGTTTTTATCAACACAGATCCAAAACTGTGTCCTTGGGCCAGTCTGTGAAAGCTGCTTGTGTTGGAGGGACTATTAGCACAGTTTGAGTAAACGAATGACCTTAAAAAAAAAAAAAACACATGGACTTGTCCGAGCTCCTTACCTGGATGACGTTACTGTTGGAGTTTTTGGAGTCGGTGCTGACAAACACGGTGAAGAAAGGCGAAGTGTGAAAGTTGGCGGACACTTTGCGCAAAACTTCTTGGAAGTTGTTCTTGTCCCAGGCACCGGTCAGGGCCCATCCTCCTAACTGAGACAGATTATTCAGACACTCAGAGACTGCAGGGAAATTGGTTTTGTTTCACAGGAATAAAATAGTGATGGGTTTGTTGGATGTTTGACGTCTTCAGGAAATACCTGGCTGATGAGTTCCTGTAGTGGTTTAGCTCCTAAATCCTCGATTTTGGCTTCGTTCATGCATGCCTGATAGTATCGCTGGGCCTTCTCCTCAGCCTTACTCAGATCTTTCATCGTTGTGTTTTCTGTCCAATCAAGAAATAGAACAGTTTACAGCAGCTGTGTAGAAGTGAAACTGAGCTTTGACATTTCACCAAATCATCTTAAGAAACCTGCAAGCCATGAGTCTTTGATTTAGTGAACACAATCAATGAGTAGCTATAAGATGCTTCATATTACACAAGACCTGAACCCAGAATGTGACACAAACAGCAAATCATGATCAAATACTGCTAACGTGATTTTTTAGGTTCTGCTGTGCAGTGAGATAATCATCAGAGTTGTGATTGCAGCACTGTACACAAGAAGGCAGATTTTTAAAAATTATACAACATTTTTTGTTGTACTTTTTTGTTTACTTTTTATCTAAAAGCAAAAAGTTGTCGGTCATGTTTACAAGAACTGAGTGCTCCATAAGTGAATCAAATATGTACAAATGTCCTTTTTATATTAATTGCAATCACATGAGAACTCATTCTTATGTTATGTAAAACATCTGTAAAAGGTTTTCGGATCAAATTCTTAAAATGTCCCTCTCAACGTGCAGCACAACATCTTATATTTTTCCTTTTCTCAAACAGATAGGGAATTATTTTGCAGGATATTCTATAGTAAACCATGTTGATGCACCCTGCACTTTGTTATCTATTAATACAAAAATCCATCTGCATCACTCGTAAAAGAAAGCGTGATGATGTGGAGCAGGTGTTTGGTCAGTCAAGAAAAAAAAGTGGGAGCAGAGTTTGAATTTGTCTGTTTTTTTATGTGTAGAAATTACCTGTATAATGTACGCAAACTCAAAGCATGTGAACATTTCTGCTAAACGTTAAGCAGTAAGATCATAGCTTGAATGACTGACTGTCACTTTATATGATATTTTGAAGTTTTAAACTTCAGACGGTCGCTGTAAGGCCACCATCAGGACTACTGGCACACAAAGCCAGTACAGGAGGATTGGCTTTGTGCAAAGTTTTTTTTGTGTTAGTTTGGAAAGGCAGACTTCCTGGTAGGAACAACAAATACAATAATGATGAGTTTGAAAAATGAAAATGATTTGTGAATGAAAAACAAACAAAGTCCAGCCAGCTAAAGAAAAAAAGGGACACCAAACCTTTTGCTTAGAGCACTAAAGCTGCCCTCAATCAAGGCTGCTCACCTAATAAATGCTTCATCACATTCATGTTGTGCTCCCAGAGGTTGCTGAAAGGTCCCCAGCGGGATTTGCCCTCAGGAAGGGGGTTCTTCTTCACCCAACCCCCGCAGGCAAAGTTGTAGAAGTCGTGGCAGGGGTCCACTGACCGGTCCAGAGCTCCCATTACCACACTGGCCACAGTGACGCACGGCTCTGTGAGGCACAGGCCCGGGTGAGCTGCGGGACAGAGATTTTACAAAAATAAGAGCGAGTTCACCTTTTCCCCCTCCACTTTATACGGCCTCGCATGTAGGAAACACTTAGCAGAAAGAATGTTTGAGGATAATCCCAAAGTATTTCATGTTCGGACATCCAAATATGCATGTGAGTGTTCAGACCATCTGGAAAATGTTAGTTCATCGGAGGCAACAGCCAAGACACACAACCTGAGGGGAAGTTTCTACTTGTAAAAATCCTTTGGAAATACTTATCTGAAAGCTGAACGTTGATTATTTTGTCTTTTAATTTTGGAGGTAATGTCAAATATTCAACTTTGGAAATCTTATTGTGTAATTTTCTGATTAATTAGAAGACCATATGATGAAGAGACAGAATCCTGGATTACCTCATCAGTTAATTCAAGTCATACTTCTCCCTTTTAAAAGAGGATTTCAAAAAAGAGGCCAACAGATAAACAACATTGCTTCCATGCTTGTGCTGTTGGAGGATTTTCTGTGTAAGTGGAAGCTTGTCGGAGGGCCAGCCAAGAGACTTTTGGCTGCCATGTGCTGCTTTATTAAGTCTAAACACAAAAACTGTTTCACAGGAAGAGCTCTTGAAAACCAAAGAAAGTGTTTCGAGAAGTTTAAGTGAAAGTCATTATGAGGAAATGGAGTCCAGTTCCAGGGGACTCAACCTGACTTACAGGCAAGACTTTAACCATCCGCCCTTATAAGGTAAGAAACAGAGACGGAGCCAAAGTTACGAGCAGTGATGAGGTTAGAAGCCTCTTGAGAATTCATCGTTGTTCCTTTTATTATTTCATAGTGTGATCTGACATGCGTTGCTGAATGGCAGGAAGTGGCATTAAGTTTCCCAGGGTAAATTTTGAGGAAGCCGGCACAGATGAGACACCGCCTGGATGTGATGCTAAATCCACAAGCCCTCTTTTCCATAATGAATAAGCTCAGGGGAGAGATTTAAAGTTTGTTTTTAGATGGCTTAGCTGAAGGTGGGGCTTTTGTTTGAAAAGAAAATAAACTGCACTTGCTGCGTTAAATAGCACAGCCCTGCAGTTTTCATTTGGATACATAAATAAAGAAGATACGTGCACTTTCAAAGGTAACAGCCTCAGGATGTGTATGGGATCTTTCTGCAACCTGGAAAGTTCATTACTTTCTCTGTCATACACAAACAGCCTTGATAATGGGACCAGTGCTAGCCAGAAAACAGATCACAAAGACTGGAAAACAACTTTTACCCATGAATTGATTACAGTCATTCAATTTAATTTTTTATTTAAATGTTTTAATAACTTTAAATCATCAGCTTTAACATGAAGAAAGTCCAGGGTATCTCCTCTGCAATGTTTGAATTACATGTTGTTCATACCCGATTTCCAAGCCCAGTAGCTTAATAAACACAACGTAGTCTTTTTAGATTATAGACGGTATAGGGCATGATTTTTAGAGAACATTAAATGTAGTTTTTTCCAGCGATATTCCAATTGCAAACAAATTGAAATCATGCAAAACTTTCTAGAACCGAGGTGTTCTGTGATCATCATAATTTTTTATGTCAAATGGATAAAACTGAGTCAGAGCTGTAATAAGTCAGTCTATTTCTCATCTTGATATTCTGCCTTTTTAATGTTATCAGTTTATTCTTGGTTCATGCAGATAGTGAACCAATATGTGTCCTCATCCCAGCAACAAAAAGGGAGCAGAAAAGGGAAAGCGGGTAGATGGTAAATAATGGATGCGACTCCAGGGAGGCATAAAAAACACAGCGCACACAAAAGTAGCTTACACTTTGACTCCCTGTTACTCCTGACTCCCTATGTAACACTCGTTGAGACCTGCTGTAAGGATGGGATGTTAGCCAGGCAGCAGAAGGTTACAGTAACCCTAAAAGTAAGAATATGGGTTCTCTCTAAAAATCCTTCTGCAGGTATGTAGATGTCTGGTTTGGTAAAAAAAAAGAAAAGAAAAAAGAAGGCCAGCCCCCTCCAAAGTCTCCCGAGCTTCACTAAGAGACGGCAGGTGTTTCTTTTCTGAGCTTGTCAAAATGCTGAGTTCAAATAAGACTTGGAAAAAAGAACTCACCCTGTTTGTAGAAGACCCCTGTGGTGATGAGAGATACAAACAAGCCTGTGGACACGACACAGAGTAGAAACAGCAGCCTGCTATCATTCTGCGTCCTGTGGGGCCAACATGTGGGGCCGCGGCCGTGCAGGAGATTCACCTGTAAACACATAGACACGCCATTAAACCTTATAAGTAGGCTATTTCAGTTCCTCTTGTAAAGCTGTTTGATCGTTCTTTTTTTAGAGGTTAGGGTATGATATGAAGACAAAGAAACCTCTTCTTTCAACACACCCCCTTTATAATGAGACTTTATATAACTATTACATTGTGGAAAATGTTGTCTATAGTCAAGCAGCTTCTCAGATATTTGATGACAGGCTTGGTTTTCGAGGCACAATGGCTTCTCTATTATGGTGCCTTTCACCCTCTTACACTGAAAAGGTTACTCATTCTTCTATTGTTCCCTCGCCTCTAGTTTAACATGCCCTCATAAAGAACATTTTTCCTTTTGGCCCAGATTAAGGGAAAAGATACAAGAATCCTGTTGAACCATATCTGAGGGCTTTTGTGGTTCACCTGAATATGACGAGGAAATAATCAAAAAAAAAGAGTCAAACAAGGACAAGAAACGGGATATTAAAGAGTCTGAAAATGCTCAATGGAGTTTAAAAGCTGGAGGAAAGTCTGTATTTTGTTGTCGGGGATTCAACACTTTCTGAAAATCAATGATTAAAGAAGTAGATCTTTAACAAGCACACCCTTCCCCTGTTCTTTCTTCGGCTGCATGTTTCTTTAGTAAAGGCTGCCAGGGGAATTTATTTCCTACAGGAATGAATCCAAAAGACCAGTCACAAATCTCTCACAGGGTCACGTTCAGCACTCCGCTCAGGTCGTTTGAGAATCCCCGGCTGTAAATGAAAGGCGGGTCTTTGGACCTCACACATATCCTGTGGAAGTCAATTACCTCTGAAGTGTATATAAATAAAGACCCGATTAACTTCTATTAGCTCAGACGAGAGTTTAACAGTCAGAGTTAATGTGATCAAATCTGATGCCAAAGCCACAGTGGCTCCTTAATCCCGGGAGCTCAGCGTGTCGCCTCGCTTTGGACCTGAGCTGTGTTTCTGAGTGGTAAAAAAAAAAAAAAAAAAAAAAAAAAAAAAAAAAATCACACTGCCAAGCATGTGCAGTCTCTCACAACAGCCTTTTATTATCCTGAGAAACACAACACAATAATGAATGCAGAGATTTGTCTAATCTTGAATTCCTTTTGGTTGATTTCTGAGGAATGAATAGGAATGGCTGCACTACAGGATCTCAGCTCCTTTGTTTGGACCAGCACTAGTAAGAGGAAAGGGATCCAAATGTCTACAAAAGAGCGCTCAAACTAATCACAAAGACTTTAAAAACAACAAGAGGACGTCTTTTTTCATAACATGCTAGCGGCAAAAGGCAATAGGAAAGTTTAGAGTTACTTTCAACATGCGACTTGACCACAGCATACACAGGAACTTCTACCTCATACTTGAAACCACAACAAAAAAAAAAATCAATGCATATCTGTATTTTGAAAATAAAACCTTCTCTATATGAACTACACTCTAACGTGCAAGTGTTTGATTAAGAAATGAGCAGTTTGCGGAAAGACTCTCTCTTGAAAATCCAGCAATCTCAGGTTGATCACCAATGATTCACATCATGTCTCCCATGCACAGAGGAGTGACTCAGTCTGTCTGTCTGTCTGTCTGTCTGTGTGTGAGGACAGCTTTCTGACTGTCTGTTTTGTAGCCTGCATGTGTTTTGCTCAGGTCTCATCTTGTAGAAGTGATCTTGATCTTAAATGGGATTTTTATCACTGAATAAAGCTTAATAACCTCACCTTTGTTAGTGTTAGTTTGGCCAATTAGCTCAAGTTAATAGATTTAATATGGTGAATTTTGGAGGCGTCGGTGGGGTAGTGGTTAGTACGCTTGCCCTCTGTACAGAGGCTAAAGCCCTCCAAGTGGGCAGCCCAGGTTCAAATCCGACCTGCGGCTCCTTTTCTCGCGTTTCCAAATTTAGCCACTTTCCTATCTCTACAATAAAAGGCAAAAAAAAAGCACAACAAAAAAAGTGTATTTTGCATCACTAATTACACACAGATTAGCTTAAATAAAAGTTAGACTTACTGTTGCTCTGGTTCTGCCAAAACTGAGTCAGCATGAGGCTTATTTTATGGCACATTAACTTTACAACAACCGCTCTACACTGAGGCATGAGATGGCAAAAAAAACAAGCATAATCCCGGTGAATTATACGGATTTAAGATAGTTATGAAATATGGAGCCTTATTTTAAATCAGGGCCTCCAAAGAAAACACGTGTTTAAATAAGAACAGGATTTTACTTTGAATCATAACCAACAGAAACACATCCCTGGATTTGCTCGGCATGGACTGAGTTTGACACACAATGTTTCAAAAGACACCTTGATTAGATTTGGTGTTAAAATGTTGTTTTGTTATTTCACCTCTACTGATTGTTTATGAGGTCAGCTCAACACATTACAAAGTCAAAGTCAACACTAAATTAGCAGATGTTAATCTGAAATCATAACCTTGTTTCTAAGATAACACGTGCCTGAAAAGACTCCCTCTCTACCCTATAAGACCTTTGCATTTTTCCTGTGTAATAATAGCTTGCTGACAGGCTCTGTTTATTTTTAGTGCAGGGTGTTTGCATGTTTACCTGCATAGGTGATGAAGGGTAGACGTCGTCCCCGGTGGAGTCGATCAGGTCCTCCTCGTCCAGCGTGGCTCTCTTATACGATGACATCTGAAAAGTTAAATGCAGAAAAGACTCTCTCAGTGCTTCCATGTTCCTTCTCCCCTCTCCCACTCATGTGTGTGAGAGAGTTTTTTTTTTTTTCACTGAGTGAGTGAGTGAGTGAATGAGTGACGTCTACTCGTCAGCAGTCTGTGCGGCTTCAGGGTAGGGTTTCCCTCTAAAATCCATCAGCAGGTATCTGGTTTGTCTGGTTTGGTGAACCGAGTTGACTCACTCAGAGAGTGTGTCAGTCCTCTCCTTTCACAGTCACTTGTGTGCTCCCTACAACCCCGAGGACACTTCTAACAGCCCCCATAATGTCTTGCTGATAACCCTGGGGGCAAATGTCTCAACAACAGCAGCCGAAACCTCGTCCAGCAAAGTCCATGTAAGATCTCCTCGTTGGTCCTCTCACAGTTTTCTCGCTCTTCCTGGGCAGACTCTTTTTTTTCCGGACTTCCTCCTCAGGAGGTATGCAAAACAAGGCACGAGAACTACTGAAAAACAGGAAGAAGCCCTGACTTGACACATACACGAGTGAGACTGGGTGTGTGGAACTGATTGTGTGCGTGTTTGTGTGTGTGTGTGTGTGTGTGTGTGTGTGTGTGTGTGTGTGTGTGTGTGTGTGTGTGTGTGTGTGTGTGTGTGTGTGTGTGTGTGTGTGTGTGTGTGCATTCCCCCTGTGCATGTGTTACCACTTAGATTTGGGGAGGGAACCTCACCGTTGTAGTTCACACCCAGTGTCTTTTCTAATAGGATATGAGGCTCTCGGGGGGGAGGGGCACACACAATATATCCTCCCCCCTCCCCCCCCCCTCCTCCTCCTCCTCCTCCTCCTCTCACTACATGTTTGTAGTTGCTGCCCCGTGTTACCTTTACCTGATAGTCAGTTCGTCTCACCCACACGAGCACTTACAAGTGGCATAAACACTGCATTTTAAAATGGCTCATCATTGGAAGGTGTGCCAAACTTAAGTCATAGAAAGAAGTAGAGATAGAGAAAGCAAAAAGCATGCGTGTCATCTCCACACTGCTAACAGTCTGTGCAATATATAAGCTAACTCTGCTTCAGATCATATTCACACAGGTCCCATGACCTCATTCATTTCTGATGGAAAATTCAGACACATGTGTGGCTGACCGTGCACACATTCCTGATTTTGTTCAAAAGTCCTTCTTTCAAAAATACTGAAGAAGAATCTTTGTCCCAACTAGTGTAGAAGTAGAATTTTAAGTAATTTTAAATATTAAAATATGCCCATCTTGGAGCTTGATAACTTGATATGAAGTCACCTCTTGTAGGTTGATCCTTTAAAAACATGTTGCTGCCATGTTCTCCTGTTTTATAAACAATCCATACATCCATTATCTATACTGCTCATCCTGTTTGGGGTCGCAGGAGCTGGCGCTGATCTCAGCTGTTATTGGGCGAGAGGCGGGGTTATGGGGTTGTGTCTGTTTCAGTCGCCCTGTGTTCTACATCGTGTTTTGGTTTGCGCCTTTTTTTTTTTTTATTCACTTATGCTCCTTGTTTTAGATTAGCTCTGTATTAATTACAGAGTAGACGTAACTGATGTGATTAAGAATGTAGGATTATTGTGAGTTCTTCTTCATATTATCATGTGTTAGTTATGGAGGTGTTGTAGGTCCAAAGTTTGTCTCTGACAGTTCTAATGAATAGTTGTGCCACCGTCTTACAATCCATCCATCCATCATCCATACCGCTAATCGAATAACTTTCCAATGCCAACCTTAATTCAACAAATACTGTAACTACGCAGTCATCATCAAATATTTTCTTTGTTTCGCTTCCTGTTGCTCTTGTGTTGTGCACTGGCTGCTCGAATGCCTACCATTGTTGACTTTATGGCTTCTTGTTGTCTTCAATCTGTTTGTCAGATGCTTTCAAAACTTCTGGGCAAACGGCCGCTGCTGAAAATAACTAGAGAGCCTAACAGTAGGATTTGTGAGACAGATACAGACACCCCAAAAATTGCCAGATTACTGATGTGGCAGCAAAGATGCATTTACTGAATGATATTGAAAATAGACCAATTCATATGGTTTGTTGTTAACTGAACTTTGCAAATGCATTAAGTAGGCTGCTGTCTTAAGTACTCTAAAAAAATAAATATTTAACATTTTCAATCTAGTTTGTATAACACGAGCTTTAAATGTGTTTTTAATGGATGTTGTGTTTATCATTTGAGCCTTGTCAAAAGGAGTATTTCTGTAACTGTTGGGATAGACCACAAAGATGATCTCATCTAATCTAAAGACAGAGTTGGAGAGCCAGATTGCAAAATAATAATTGGTGTTTTTTTTTTAAAGGTCAAATATTACCCTCCCTTTCAAAAAGTTTAAATTAGTGGAAAAGGTCCCCAAAACATGTCTGTGAAGTTTCTTGATATAAATCCACTCTGATCCTGTATTTGATCATTCCTTTCTTTAAGCCCTGTACAAAGAATACACTGAATCACCTCAGCAGTCTGTCAGCCTGAGAGGAATACAAATCAATTCACTGCATGTGTAAAAGAAAGAATCCATTCCTTACTATTTTTTGCACAACAGAAATATGATCAAAATGTCAGATGTGTAGCCGAGCAGCCAACCCATGCCTCTGTTGTTGTATCAGTTCAATCTCAGTGTCTCTCCTTCATGCTCTGGCATGCATCTCGTCATGTAAACATCCACCGAGCACAAGACAAACCAGACACTCAACATAAATGTTTACTTGACCAAGACAGATTAGATTTTATTGGGAACTCGACTGGGAAGCAATCCAGCCGCAGATCCTGGTTTGATTTCAGTTTCCACATGTTTCACGTCAACATGCCACTGAGGGGGAAAGAAACAAACATGTTCCCACCACAAGCATTCCAGGGAATTCTAGGCAAACCAGGAGCTCGGATTCCTGTTAAATCTTGTTTTCTAAGAGGCGAGATGTGGAAATCAACTCCAGTAACACCAGGAGGAGGGAACTGCTGTCACCTTCAACAACCAAAACACAAACCAGAATCATACAACTAGCCTCGCTGTGCTGATGTATTTTAAATTCTAGCAGCACACAGACATTATCAGCGTATAAAAAGGGCCATCGGGATTAAAGATTGAGTTGATGAAAAGTGATGAACAATTCAAAAAGCACACACAGGAAGAGAGGAGGGGGGAGAAAGTACGAGGCCACAGACGGTTTTTAGGGCACTTTCAATTACATAAATTGCATCAGATGACCTTTAGCCAAAGGCGAAAATGGCTTGATAGGGATATTGATGTGTGACTTTTTCCAACACACACACACACACACACACACACACACACACACACACACACACACACACACACACACACACACACACACACACACACACACACACACACACACACACACACACACACACACACACACACACACACACACACACACACACACACACACACACACACACACACACACACACACACACACACACACACACACACACACACACACACACACACACTATAGTCAATATCAAACCTACATGTCATGAAAGGATTACAACTTCTCCATTTAACAAAATAGGGGAAGATTCATAAATACTCAAAACTAAATCTTTACCCACCAAATCCTCATCTTGTTCAATTCAAATACAAATGTACTTTAGAAGTAACGTGTAACTGTATAAAGAAAACGTCCAATATCTCAATCTCTTTATTGCCAGGATGACTCCACTCTGTTATTTACGCCTTGTAAAGCACAACAAAGTGTAAACCTGGCCTGTAATATCTCATATCGAGCTTATGCTTCACTGGCCAAAAAAGTGAACATTTTCCACCATTCAACGGCTATAAGAAGATAAAGACTTTTGTAAATCCGTCTTTCAATTAGAGCCTGACCGATTAATCGGCTCGCCCGATAATATTGGCCGATTTAGTGAATTTAAGCAGGAAACACTTGATTGGGGGAAAAAATTTGAAGAGAATGTGGATAAAAATGAAACAGATTTCACAGAACCCTATCTGAAGAGACAAACAAGTTCATTCTCATAACTTGGCCAAAACACCTTATAAAAGTTATTTTTGGTCTGCATGTGGCATATACAGCAAAAGCAAACTACTAAAAAAAAAAAATTGAATAAAGTGTGTGGTCTGCTTTGGATCACAGTTCAGAGCAACACATTCGGTCCGCTCTGACACAGGCTGTGTTGCTGTCACACTCGTACATTCCTCGGCACACATGTACTGTTTTTGAACTGTTTCCTGGCATGTGTGTGCGTCTGTGCAGATGTGGTTCCCTCACAGATTGACCCCCACTGAGCTGAATCCCTGCTGCAATGACAAAAAAAAAACTCTGCCTTGCCTTTCCTGTTAACAATATTTGGTGACTAATATCATCCGTATCAAGTATCATCCCAATCCAATGTGTCATCATTTCTGCCCCTGTTTCCTAATCGCCTCATCAAGAAACACAGAACTACGGATAAAAATCACCAGCATGCATTTCTGCTGATCTCAGGGTGTGTTGGAATACCATCTGTAAAATCTTTAACCTACACAGGACTTCCTGTTGATGCACTTCATTTCTCAAAGTCACACCATAAGTGGCCATTGGGAGCCATTTGCAAATACAAAGTGATGCATAAGAATAGTCGGTGGTCAAGGTCAGCTCTGGACACTTAACAGCTAATTTCCCGTCGTGTCCCAGAGTGACATGAAGATGTCTTTCCAAGGCAAAGCGGACAGCGTGAGGGGGTCAGAATCCCACGGTTCCTGGAAACCGACGCGAGGCCACGGCCCTCGAGTGAGGCTGTAAAACCACAAACATGCGTCAGTAATTCGTCACTGATCCTGCAAACCAGACGATTATTTGTAGCGCGCGGGGGGGGGGGGGCGGATTCCTCCAAGAATAAATGGAGCATGTTTGTGTTTGGGCATTGGGTGCTGCGTCGGTTCAGACGCGACTGGTGTTTGACAATTTAGCTCCCGAGGACAAAATGTGAGAACAGGAGACAAAAGAGAAGCCGAGGACTTGTGCAGCGGAATGGGGATGACGGGCATAAATGGAAGGAAGTAAGGCACAGGTGATTTATAGGGGTGTTTGACGTAGGCTGGCAGTAAACACAATCTGCATCTGAGGGAAGGCGGCTCACTAAACCACCATGTTAACCCAGTGAGATGCGAGGTCTAGAAGTGGTTTCAGACCACAGACGACCAGTAATTAAAGACTACACAACAAAAACAATCTAAGTGACAATCCACGCCTGTGGAAGAGGAACTACTGCTGCGTGATAGCCGTCATGTTTCTGATGAAATCTCATTTCTGCTTCACGGTTTGTAAAGAAAACACGCTTTTCACATCTCTGTCACATTACGTCAACCCACAGAGAACAACAACATCTACACCAGATCTGAACTTCCTCTTTAAAGCCATTTGAATCACAAAATGAGGTTGGTAAAACATTCAGGGAATGCCACAACTGCAGATTCAAAACATGACCACACTTATAATTACAGCAAGATTTAGCAAGTACAAACAGTTTCTTTTGACTGAACAACATCTCACCTGAAGGATACG